AAGGCTCATTCATATTGATGACATTCAAATGTCATCTGGTGTGACTATTCATTGGTTACATTTATCAGATCTGTGTCCAGTGTAAATTCTCTCATATTGTATCTCATGTATTTTCATTTCCACTAACTGAATTTACTTTTATTCAATTTTAAGAGTACACAGTGTACCCAACACATCATTCTATGGTGGATCTGCACTCTTAAAAGTGCGTGTGCATGGGTGTCTGTGTGTGTGCATGTGGGTGCACATTTCGTGGAATAGATCAGAGAAAATAGTTTTAAGTCTTAAATATTTAAAACCTCTCCACTCATGGAGTGTTTTTTTTTTTATTTTTTTTTTTTATTTTTTTATTTTTACCAATCCATTTCTTCCTGGGTTTTGAAGATCAGAAGCAGAGCCTGTTTTTCAGCATAAATGTCTGCTCTGCCTAGGTGCATCTTGCTGTGATCTCCAGATTTTAGAGGATGTTGAATTATATCCTTAGGAATGTTTTTACCTATGTGTATTTATTGGACAGCAAATTGATTAAACAAATAAATAAAAAAAGATTTAAAAAATTCTCTCATGTTGTATAAGGAAAGAAATATCAACAAATGCTTCAGGAATTAAAAAGGGATTCTCCCCATTATGTACTCTCTTCTTCATAAAGTAGTGAAGAGCTACATTAGAAGGACTTTCCATACTGATTACATTCATAGAGCTCTTCTCCAAGATGGTTTTTCACATGTTTCCTAAGGGATGAAGTAATACTAAAGTGTTTTCCACAGTTGTTGCTTTACATTTTGTATCCTCTTGTACACAGTAAAGGAAAAGTTACTCCTGGAAGGATTTTCCTTATTGATTACAATGATAGGGTGTTCCTCAGTGTGAGTTCTCATGTGTATGAAGAGAGTGCTTCCTAAATATTTTTCCACAATCATGACTTTCATAGTTTTTCCCCAGTGTGAATTCTTACGGAAACAGTAAGAGTAGAAATTATGGTGAAAGCCTTTCCATATCTATCATATTTATAAGATTCTTCCAAGTATGAATTCTCTTCTATACTCTACAAACAGATTTAATACTGAAGAGTTGAAACAGTACTCATATCTATAATATTTTATTCTAGTATGAAGTCTTACATGCATCCAAATGGATGATTAATAACTGAAGTTTCTCCGATAGCCCTTACATTTATAGGGTTTTTCCCTATTATGTATTCACACGTGTATAGCAAGTTAAGAATTATTACTGAAACATTTTCTCCATATTAATTGTATGCAGAGCATTTCTTATCAGTATGAAATTTCTTGTGTTGAATAAGGTTACATGTTGCACTGATTATATTGACTTATTCTAAGATTTGACCCTTTGGGACCAAGGGCCCTCCCCCATGGGAGAGTCCTGGGATCCTGTCTCAGGGTTTCCTGCTACATGCTGAAGGCAAACACATGTGTGCCTGTGACCTGAGGCTGGGAGTGGATCCTGGGTGTAAGGGTTCAGTTGGGAGCACATCCCTTTCTCTTTCTCAGAGAAAACAAATAAGTAAACTAAAAAAAAATAATAATTGAACTATTGAACTTTTTTTTTTAGAGGTTTTTACCTTAGGGAGTGTGTGCTCACTGGAGAGAGAGACAGCAAGAGGGAAAGTGAGAAATCATCCCCCTGGGGGGTTGGCCATGCCCTAATCCCTGCTCCTCCATTCTCCTCCTGGTATCTTGGGCACACATGCACATGTGGCCAGTGTGATTTTCAAGCTACTGGGTCTAGAACTCAAAGTGTGGTTGACCATGTGGGAGTTCAGTGACATAATCACTATGTCATATGTCGGCCCTGAACTTTTGGTTTCAGGTAGAACCTAAATATCTGGGCAGATGCTTGGAAAATTTACTCTTCTCTATTATTAACTCATCCTCTTTCTCTAATAGGAGATTGAACTAGGTTTGGTGATATGATGCCCAAGTGATGCTGTTTTTGTCGTTTTCCTGCATCTTAATTCTACACAGATTTTACTGAGGAGTCCAGCAAAGCCCACTTTTCTGGGTTAACTCCATAGCCACATCTTTGAATGACACTGAGTCCTATGACCAGTAGAAGTCCATTAGCCAACTCTTCTTCCCTTGGATTTTCCCACTGGTGATTGGGAGAGTCCTTAGTCCAGAAAACTAAGAGCTATTGCTATTTCTCACAAAAAGGTGAGGCTATCCTCTTTAGGTGGTAACTTCTTGTTTATAATCATAGACCATTAAAATTGGAAGAGACAGCTCAGGCTGATCTTTCTGGAGCTGGAGTTGGTATTTCTAGTTAGGAGTATGGTGCTGGTTTATACTGACTTTTTCTAAAGAAGTAAGTAGCTTTTTTTTCTTTGAAAAATATCTTTTCTCTTTGAGCATTAGAAAACAGCTGTCAAGTAGATTTCTTCAGAAGAGGAAGAAAAGGACTCAAAGATATTGGTGCTATGGATACTCTCTGTCAGATGGCTTTCTTGCCCTCTGAGTGAGCAGAGCAGAAGTGGAGCATTTGTTTTTTACCTCTCTTGATATTCCTGTCTTATTTAAACAGCATATTTATACATAATCTATATAGAAATGTTTACATATTAATGAAAATGTTTGTTTCATTTTTGGTGAACATTTTTTTTTAACTTGCCAGAAGGCACATGAATTCAAAGGAGGGGGTGGGGAGAAAGGAAGTGAGAAAGCACACCCACCCCACCCCACCCCCCCGTCCCCCAATGGAGGATGGTCACATCACAATCTGTTTCCTCCATCTTGCTCTCCTTTGGGAATTTTGGGCATGCACAAACATGTGCCTGGCATATTTTTCAAGCCACTGGGTCCAGGATTTGAACTGCACAGTCAGGTATATGGGACACAGTTCTTTTAACCACCAGGCCACAGATTGGCCCTGTAAATATATATATATATATATTTTTTCTTTTAATTATTTTTTTGGGGGGGAGAGGTTTTTGCTATAGGGCACGTGCGCTCGCCAGACAGAGAGAGAGAGAGAGACGGACAGAAAGCGAGAAATCACCCCCCCAGAGGGGATGGTCATACCGCAATCCCTTCTCCTCCATTCTCCTCTCGGGATCTTGGGCACGCACGCACACACACCTGGCATGAGTTTTAAGCCACCGGGTTCGGGACGCGAGCCACGGTCAACTACATGGGAGTCCAGCGACATAGCCATTACGCTAACTGCTGGTCCCTAATATTTTTCATATTTGATATTTTCTCATGTGTTTCTTTTCATTTAATTTCAGCTCCTCCCAAAGGTTTCTAATTGGCCTTGCTTCAGATTATAGAGGTATCAATAAATAATGTTGTTTGATTTGGTTCTTTTCTTTCTTTCATTATCATACCATTGTGTTCAGCCCGCCCATTTTTAGGCTGGAGTCAGCTGACTTCAAGTGTCTGACCACACTTATTTTCCTTCTATTCTCAAAGCAGTTATGTTCCCAGCCCCCTTTGGTTGTTGCCTCATTCTGTTGTTATTGGCCTATGCAACCAAGAATTGTAGCCAAAACAAGAGACTGTACAAATGGGAGAAATCTTGCTCTATGTGGTTCTGGCAACCCTTGCTGCACTGTTCCTGGGCTGATCCTGTCCATGGAGATCCTCAGTATTACGTACTCTGCCCTGATCAAAAGACTGGGATAAGGTATGGTGAATGCTTGTTGATATTCTTGAATTAGGGTGAATCCAAACTGTGATTATGGAAATAAATCATCCTCTGCTTTATAGTGGAAAAATATAGGGGGAGAGGATCTACGTTGGAGAAGAGAAAACCTAACAGGGTAGTTTCTACGGTTAAATGTATCCACCCAAAATTCATGTGTTGAAATCTGGTTGTTATTAAGAGAGAGAAAACTTAATCTGACTCTGTAAGAGGTAGGACCTTTGGGAGATAATTAGGATTAGAGAAGATCATCAGGATGGGAGCCCCATGACTGAATGCTGGTGGCTTTATAAGAAGGAGAGAGGCCAGAGCTGACACATACTCTTGCCCTCTCATGTGATAACCTGCATTACACTCTGACTCTGCAGAGACACCCTCCCACCCCAAACAGCCTTTCCCAGATGTGGCCCCTTGACCTTGGACTTCCAGAATTGTGAGTGAATAAACCTTTATTCTTTATAAATGACCTTGTGTAGTACAAACTCAGTTACAGCAACATAAAATGGGACTAAATGGTACTTAAAAACTCAGGTCTTGGGCTGGCAAGTGGCATGGTGATTGGGGCTCTGGGCTCCCACTTGGCGGACCATGGTTGGAGTCCTTGGCGACTTGCTTTCGCACTTTCCCTTTCTCTCTCTGTCTCTCAATGGTGAGCACATGTGCCACGCAGCAAATTAAAAAAATAATAATAAATTAAATAGATAATTCTTAAAAAAAAAAAAAAAAGGAATTTAGGCCTTAGAATTTAGTAGACATTGTTCTCAGGCGATTTGACATCTGGATTTTTCTAACCCAATTGAATGAGGCATTTAACCTTCCCAGGTGTGGGAACCAGTGTTTAGGGTAGAGGGATCACAGTGGTCCCTTCTTTTGCTTCATTTTGCTCTTGCACAAAAATTCGCTTTCAAGTGAATCAGGCAGATGGGACTGCAAATACCTAACAGGTAAGAACTAAAGTTGGGATTTTCTGGGCCCAGTTGCTTCATGGATGACTACATTTACTTTTTACAGGCATTGTATTGCTTGTTTTGGATAGTTGGGAGCAACTTCTCTTACCTTAGGGAAACGTGAATATAGATACTGGCAAGACCAAGAAGTGTGAGCTAGTAGCCAAAATCTAGCGATCTCATGAGTATAAGTGATTGTTACAACTGCACAGGTACTAACATTTGGATTGGTTTAGACATAGAATGAAGCAGCAGCTGATTGGTTAATAAAAGTTAAAACGGGACCCCCTACCTGGGAGAGATTTGACAGCTCTCTGATTAGGACCCTGAATCTCTCCTGGCCCTCTGGCCCTGCCTTTGTGACGTGGCCCAGCCAGCCTCTGTGATGCAGCCGGGCCAGCCTCAGCCATGGTTCACACTTCGGCGGTTAAGGCCCAAAGCCAGTGGCCCCGCGGAGGCGGGAGCGGGGCCATGGCCATGGCTGAGCAAGCTGAGGCTAGTGGCGTACCCCAAAGCGCTGAAGTCAAAACTCAGCAGCCTGTAGAAAACCCCCTCGGAGGATCGCTGAGACGGAGCCCGCGCTCCGTACTTAAAGTGTCCCAGCTGCTGCTCCGAGCCATCTCTGCACACAAAGGGCTGACTCTGGCAACTCTCAAGAAGGAGCTTGGAAACGCTGGCTACGAAGTGCGCCGGAAGTATGGCTGCCACTCTGGGAGCGAAAAGCCCAAGCCTGAGATAAAGGGCACACTTCTTCGGGTCAGCGGCAGCGATGCCGCCGGCTACTTCAGGATATGGAAGGTTCCGAAGCCGAAGAGAAAGACTGGACGCCCGAGGTTGGAGGAGGGTGTTCGCTCTCCCAGGAGGACCCAGTCGGTGCCCCGGATCCCACGGAGGCGCCGCACTCTTCGCAAGGCGGCCAAGAAGGCCAGACAAATATGGAGACGAAATGCGAGAGCAAGCGCCAGGGCAAGTGCAAGGGCGAAGAGGGGTAGGCCAAGAGCCAAGGACCAGGTGCGTGCCAGAGCCAAGGAAGAAGCAAGGGCCAAGGTGCTGGACGAGGGGAGAGGACGGACCACAAAGGAAGACAACAGGCCTAGGCCCCAAGAGGAGAAGAGGCCAAGCTCGAAGCCCAGGGAAGAGAAGCAGGACCCCGAGAAAGTGGTAAAACGAACCATCCAGAAGTCGACACGGATTAAAACCGACCGGCCTTCTAACGGGCAGGGGAAGACCTGCACAAAGATTTCCACTAAATCTGAAGGTCCTCGGAACGCAGTCGGGAATCCATAATGTGGGAGCAGTTTCCCTTCATCCAGGCACAAATGCCTTTTCCCCCAGGCTCCAGCGAGAGCAGCTCTCACATTCATTGAAATGGACAAAACCATTTACAAATACTTTCTACCACATTGTTTGTGTCTGTTTCCTTTTTGCCACACCTGAAAGGGTTGAGGCTTGAAACCTGTAGCAGGGGAATATGGGCTGAAGAGAGAAAAAGGGGCTGAGCTTATTCTCCTGGGCAAGTCACAGCAAAGTGCTTTTCAGAAGGAAAGAAAACAGGTAGGGGAAACCCAGCAACTTAGCAGGGTTAGACAGAAGAGTAGAATTAACGTTAGACACTAGCAAATCCAAATTGAGTTTTGAGGAGGAGGGTATATTGGGGGAAGAGTAGACACTTTAAGTTGAGTGATCTTCTGATCCAAAGTGTTCTTAACTGAAATTTCTTTTAGAGCATAGTCCCTTCTTCCAAAATTGATTATAATGCACTTCTTATGCCCTGAATTGACGACTTATTTTAATTTTTAAAATATCTTTTACTCTTCAGTTAAATCAATGGGTGGAAAGCATCTAACATTGGGCCTGGCACAGAGTGAAGTGCTCATACTGAGAGTTAAATACATATATAAATAATTCCTGGGACCAGCAGTTGGCACAATGGCTATGTCGCTGGACTCCCATGTAGTCAACCGCGGTTAGAGTCCCAGACCCGGTGGGTTAAATTCACACCAGGCACATGTGCATGCGTGCCCAAGATCCCTGGGAGAGAATGGAGAAGGGATTGTGGCATGGCACCACCACACACACACACTTCTCTCTGTCCCTCTCTGTCTTTCTGGCGAACATATGCGTCCTATAGCAAAAATCCTCTCCAAAATAATAATAATAATAATAATAATAATTCCTGATGAGGTAGTAATGATCAGTCATTAGTGAAACCAGGATTGTAGTCAAAGTTCTGCTAGTCTGACTTTAGTCTTCACCATTCATGGTTTACGTTTCCTTTTCTGTAAAATACCAGGATTGAAGTAGCATGATTTTTAGGTGATTTTAAGTTTCAGCAAAATGATAATGGGGACTTATCATGGCATACGTTTTGCTTGGCAAAATCCAACAATAATGGAATTATAAACTGGGAAAAATGCTAATTCCCAGAGAAGAAATTGTTTAAGAGTGTGTATCAGGTACACAAGGAGATGGGAAGACCAAGTAATTAATATGTGGGTCTTTTCTTTTTTTTTCTTCTTTAATTTCTAGGAGAGTCTGGTATTTTCCATATGGGGAAACAGGGTATATGTATTTAAAACAAACAAAATATATGTATATATTTTTTGAGAGATTTTTCCTATAGGACATGTGCACTTGCTAAACCAACCAGCCTTCTAATGGACAGGAGAAGACCTGCACAAAGAGTCAGAGACAGAGAGACAGAAAGGAAGAAATCATCCCCCAGGGTGGATAGCCACACCGTAGTCCCTTCTCCATTCTCCTCTTGAGATTTTTGGGCATGCACACACATGCGCCCGGTGTGAGCTTCAATTCACTGGGTCTGGGACTCAAACAGCAGTTGACTGTGTGGGAGTCCAGTGATGTAACCATTATGTCATCTACTGGTTCCCAAAAAAATTAAATAAAAAAACTTAAATGATGCTTATATTTTTCCTCTCACACCCTTGAGAATTACTGCTTTAAGCCTGTGCAAAGCTGAGTATTAGCAAAATGCTTGCAGTGTATCTTATCTACAGATGATATGAAATTTGAAATTTCCCCATGCTGCAATTTTCTATGCACTTGAATATTCTCTAGGAGTAGCAGAATGAAGCAAACAGAATCAGAGAATAGAGAATCATCTGAAAACAGGCAAGAAAGAGAAAATCAAACATTGACCATTAAACACAATTATAACAGTTAATTAAATATTTTTGTACCCAGATGTATTGTTTCTTTATAGTTCAGAGATGTTTTTACCTAAAGGACCAAGTGGTTTTGAACTAGCCCTTTTTCTCTAATACAGAATGTGAATGACACAATAATTTGTTTCTAGATTTCCCAGGAATTGTCACATTACTGTTTGTAGTATGAGGGTTTCTTCATTTAAGCAAACTTCCATTCATTCATTCAGCCAAGGCCAGTGACAAGAGATCCAGACCCTGACTGCATATAGCAAACAATGGTCATGTAATGTTATTTCTGTTTTTCTCTCCCCACCTCCCCCACCCCACAGAGAGCACTTGTGCCTGTAAGGCAGAGGGAAGGGAATGAGGAGTGCTCAAACTGCAATCCTTTTTCCTCCATTTCTCCATCCTATCAGGATTTTGTGCACACACATTTGCCTGGCTTGGATTTCATGTCACTGGGGCCAGGATTTGAAACTTGAATGGCCATGTGGAATCCAGCTCCCACTACACAGAACTTAACTGCTGTGCTACAGGGCAGACCAAGGTTATTTTTCTTTTCTTTTTCTTTTTCTTTCTTTTTTTTTTTAAAGAAGTTTCTGCCTTCTTTAAAAGAGACAGAGACAGAAAAAAAAATGAGAAATAACCCCCCAGGGGGAATGGCCACATCACAATCCTTTCTTTGTTCTCCTCCCAGGATCTTGGGCACACATGCGCACTCACCTAGTGTGTCAAGCCACCTGGTCTAGGACCTGAACCACGGTCAACCATGTGGGAGTCCAGCAATGTAACTACTATGCCATCTGCTGGCCTCTCAAGGTTATTTTTCATTGATAAGCTTTAAGGTGGCATCACTCCAGTGAAATATAAGAAGTGATCTTTGCTCATTGGCAGGCTATCCAGATCCTAATAGTAGCTGGGTATTCTATCAAAGAAATTTCCAGTAACACCTAATCTCATCCCTAGTGTTCATTCATTAGTAACTAAGTACCTGCAAGATTCTGGGAACTGTGCTGGGAATACTAAAATATGTAACACATTATCCCCACTTTTCTGTGTTCACATTTGAATGGCATATTTGGGTATTTAACCTTAGAGCAAATGTAATGTCCCTGACCTCAGTTCTTTGCTTTCCTTTTACCTAAACTGCCTAGTGTTGATTAGATAATTGTTGCACTCTAAAGTTATAACATACTTCAAGCATCAAATATTCAATGATTGCTTAAAAAATAGTCAACAGAACTACTAATAGCCTTTTAAAAAGTTCCAACTTTACTTATAGAGAAATGCACACTAAAACAATAGGAATATTTCTAATCAGATTGGCAAAAATTTAAATGTTTGAGAGCATATTCTATTGGTGAGGCTGTAGGG